CGCCGCGATCTCCGTCTGGCTCATCCATGTCGTGGTCTCGTAGAGCTCGATGATCTCCAGCTTCTGCATGAGCGACAGCTTGGACTTGCCGTGACAAGCCTTGCTGTGCGCTCCCCGCTCCTCCTCCGTCCAGGCTCGCCTCTTGCGGGGCCCGACAAGGCCGTCCAAGTCCGTGAGGGCGGCGACAAGCCCCGGGGCTTCCTCCGCTCCCCCTCCCCGATCCGGCTCGGCCGCTGACGGCTCCAGCGGCTCCAGCCAGCAGCAGCTCTCAAACTCCTCTCCGCCCCCTCCCCACTCCTTGTCCGACCATCTCAGGCTCAGGCTGCTCGCCTCGGGCCCTGAGCTCGCCAGCGACGAGGGCGTGTGAGGAGCCTCCTCGGACTCGGAAGGAGTGCCGATCAGGTCCCAAGCATCGAGAGGCCATCGGTGATAGGACAGTCGGAGCAGGTCGTCGTCCTCCGGCTCCGGAAGCATAGCGGCAGCGAGCTCGGAGGAGGAGGGAGCACGTGGGAGGCAGCAGGGAAGCATTCAGAGGATGTCAGTGCCCGGGAGGGTTTCTTTTTAACGCACCCTACTACTCCCCGAAATGGGGAAGCAGTCACGCGAGTTTCGGAGGCCTGGCTGGTGGTCGACTACCCCCTACCCCCTATGCAGGTGATGAAATCACCCGTAGCATCGAGTACCCCTACCCGCGCAGCTTGTACGGGCGGGCACCGGTGTATCAAAATACAGCTTTACTACAAGATGTTCACTTTCTGCGGCAAAAAAAGGAAGATGATTCCGAGTCGGTTCACATCTGCTGATTGTCGGACTTGGTTCTTCGGATCGGCAGTGCTTGTTTTTCAACAGCTGCTGCGGTTAAGTTCCCCGCGCTCCCGGACTCCGGCTTGTAAGCTCCTATCTGAGGCGCGCTCGGCGCTCACGGGTGATTAGCCCCTCCCCAACAACTTTAGTTTAACTTACCTTGAGTAAAGAACAGAGAAGGTTCATTGTTCAAGAATGTTGAACGAGACATTAAGAATCCTCTGCTAAGATTTCAATTCTCCTTTGAGCACTTGTAATTTGATCAACGGTGATGCTGAATTAGTGGTGTCACAACTTGGTGACCTGATCGACGATGCAGAAGGAGGACCAACGAGACGAATCGAGATGTCAGCAGCAGTACTGTTCACTTTTTGTATCAGGCTCTTTCACCTTCGTAACGAGATCTTCTGCGGCGAAATGTTCTTGCGATGAAGTGAGGGAAACCGAAAACTGCTATCATTCAAAGCATCGGACCTTCAGTTCCTATCAAAACAGAACTCCATTGGACCCTGACCTCGGAATCTCGTGAGCTTGAGAGTCATCTGCTGCTGCGCACGTCCTACCAGCCGCTCAGCCTCACATCATGATACTCGCCCACACACAAGACATGCCCGTCATGCGCATGCAACATCGCGTCAATGCGATCACCAACGCCTTGTATCTCTAGTTTCATTCTCATCAAAGCCTACTACGGTAGTAATAGGTCCCCGCGGCACGCTCAACCAACCTAGCGCGCTCGTCCATCGTCACGACTGACGACTCCAGACGACTCCAGACCAGCTCTCGCAAGGCAGCTCAGCCACCCAGCGGCACCCAGCCGCCGAGCGCCGCCCTGGCGCTGGTGCGCTGACATGGACCCGTAGACCGCCAGCCCGCTCTCACACTCCCTCGCTCTGCTCCCTCCTGGTGGATGTCAGCCTGGTCCGCCTCACGTCTACCCCGCTCCTCTGCGCCGTCGCCTGCTTCAGCTTCCGCACGCTCTCCGGCCTCAGGATCTTGGAGATCGCCGACCGGCTCCGGCCGAAGATCGCCGCGATCTCCGTCTGGCTCATCCATGTCGTGGTCTCGTAGAGCTCGATGATCTCCAGCTTCTGCATGAGCGACAGCTTGGACTTGCCGTGACAAGCCTTGCTGTGCGCTCCCCGCTCCTCCTCCGTCCAGGCTCGCCTCTTGCGGGGCCCGACAAGGCCGTCCAAGTCCGTGAGGGCGGCGACAAGCCCCGGGGCTTCCTCCGCTCCCCCTCCCCGATCCGGCTCGGCCGCTGACGGCTCCAGCGGCTCCAGCCAGCAGCAGCTCTCAAACTCCTCTCCGCCCCCTCCCCACTCCTTGTCCGACCATCTCAGGCTCAGGCTGCTCGCCTCGGGCCCCGAGCTCGCCGGCGACGAGGGCGTGTGAGGAGCCTCCTCGGACTCGGAAGGAGTGCCGATCAGGTCCCAAGCATCGAGAGGCCATCGGTGATAGGACAGTCGGAGCAGGTCGTCGTCCTCCGGCTCCGGAAGCAGAGCGGCAGCGAGCTCGGAGGAGGAGGGAGCACGTGTGAGGCTGCAGGGGTCCATGCTGGGTTAGGGTTGGCTGTGGCTGAGGTCGATTATATAGACCAACAGATTTTTTTTAAAAATTGGTTTTGAAAGGCGCTTGCAGGCAGTCACGTCACCTTCGGAGGCCATGCTTGTGGGCGCCTACCCCCTACCCCCGCTCCGTCCTTATGATCTACCGGTCTGCTGTTGCCGTATGGGGATAACGATTTATGGCTTGTTTACTACAAGGCGACACAGAAAGTTGCCGCTAAAATGACTTGTAGTACACTGAGTGGATGCTGACAGCACTCACTTATCTTTCTGGTTCATGGGCAAAAAAAAAGGTACGTTGACTTCAATGGTGGCCGCATCGCCCGGGGGACAGTCGGGGATCATGTGGGTCGGACAACTAATCAATAATGATCGGGAGGCTCCGAGTTGTCCGGCCCGGGGCGAAGTGGACACCGGCCCGGCGAGAGACGGTCAGTGGTCATTGGAGGCTCATAACCTTGTGGGGTGAAAATGTTGCAGTTGAGATGTTCCGAGCGATTAGAGTGGCGGCTGATCGGATGATGGGCTGAGATCGGACTGAGTGGGCCGGGTCACCGTAACACCAGCCGAGAGTCCCGGAGTCACCGGTGCCGGCCGGGGTGAACTCGGAAGGCTTCGGCCCCACTCGCCCGGCCGGGCGCCGCCGGGGCAGTGACGGACTGACTCACCGTGTTCCGAGTCACGATTTCTAACTCTCGGAACTTGACTGACCGTCGGACGGCGACGGCGGATCTTCAAGCTGGTCACCGTTCGCACCCAAGTTCCGAGTACCGTGACTTTCACGGTTGCCATGTTGCCGCAACAGTGCAAGTACTCAGTAGTACTGGGATGACTCAGATTTGTGTTGTCTGCTGTGCATAGAAGAATCTAACTTCACGCTGTCCTATCAAAGCCCGGCGGTACTACCGTAGGAATGCGGCTGCCTACCCAATCGAAGAGAATGCCTGAGAGCATGGTGCTGATCTGATGAGTGTGTGTGCTTAATCAACAGTGACCCTAAGATCATCTGAGCTCAAGGTCTTACGCAAGGTTGTGAATACAACATATGGTAGCAGCAAACTGTTGAAAGTGAAAAGATCGCGTAAGGCTCAGACCAGTGAACGAAGGATTGCAAGATCTAAGGAACAAATCTCTGATCCAACTTTACTCCACCCAAATGTTGGAGGTAAAACAAACAATTCCGATTTCCCCGTCCTTTTTCTGTAACGAAAAATGATGATGCAATTATGCAAGCTCGACCACAGCAGGATTCCCACCCAGCTTCTGGTGCTTGCCCATGTTGTTTTACGCCTGTACCAGCACCGTCTGTCTTCGCTAAGGAGTTTCCAGCTCCGCATAGCAGTGCTTTCCGTACGGAGGGACGGATGGGAAGAAGGAAGGGTGGGTTACGTGTAATCCGACGGGATCCAGGCACTCTTACAAGTATGAGTCGAAGTACTGCTCGAACTGCCCCATCACATTGAAATCGAAATCTTGACGGTCGGCGTTTTCTCTGATCAATGAGGTTGAGTGCCTCAGGCTCGTAGTTACCGATGCTCTAGAACATGTAGAAACTCGTTGCAGGTAGAAAAGACTTGTAAGTGTCCGCCTGAGTACTTCACAAGACAGCAGGAAGGATTCTAAATCGCCAAATCATCGTCCCAGTCACCGACACACGCTTGTCTGCGATCATGTGGGAACATGGATAGGTACTAAGAGACTCCTACTCGCACAATCTGGATATTGCCTCCAGGATGGCATATGCTGAATGAAGGTATCAACTTTTCTGGACCGTATGATGATGGTCAACAAAGAAGATCAGATCTCCTCAGTCAGCTCTTGATTCTTATTCGCCCACGTACATTGCAAGAAGTTACACAAGGACAGCGGCTGGCTGTATCAGCATCTTACCATGCCGAAATTCAACCATGTTGGCAAGGAGTGCAGATTTCATTCCGACCAAATTATTTCAAAATTTCAGTTTAAATTAGGAGGCGTTCTCGGGAAATCGCTGAAAATGTTTTAATTTTTTTCCAAACCCGACACCCGCTGAACCCGCATAGCGGACACGTCCATGGCGAAAGTCAAGGAAGAGGAAAGATGGTGGAGGGGAAAGGGAAAGGGAAAGGGAAAGGGAAAGCAGGGACGGAAGTTGGGAAAGAGGTAGGATGAGGAGGAGAAGGAGCAGGAGGAGGAGGGAGGAAGGAGGAAAAGTAGGAGGAGTTGGAGGAGGAAGATGTTGAAATTTGTGTATGCACATATACATGAGTGTTCGAAGGCACTGAAGCGAAGAAAGAGGAATGGTCCATCCACCTTGAAGAGGATCCGGAGGATCGTTCAAGGCGGTGTAGTGGATTCTTCTCAGTTCCTGGGAGTCTTGACTTTGTAAGGGACGCGTCAGGCTGGGAGAGCTTGCTGAGCGAGCTCTGTGAAGACAGTAACTGACTAGACTGACTTATGGAACCTGAGTTTGATTGGAGTGATGAAAGAACTCTGTGATGGTGATATGAGCTCAGTCGTGCAGAAGGGTGGTACCTGACCGTATCAGCTTTGTGATCTTACAAACTCTCCCTGCCCGGGCTCACAACTGACATCTTGGTTGCCATACCAGAGTTCGAGGAGGGTTAACCATAGCGACACAAGGCTGCCATGCGCGTTGAACAAAGTGCGGTAGGATTCATCGTTGCGTCGGCCATCCTCTTGTCGACTCCTTGCGGGTGTCTTGTATCAACTCCCAGGGCAGTCGGATACTCGCTCTGCGTGAAGGGCAGGGAAGCTCCTCATGCTGGGCTCGTCCTGAGGATGAGTGGAGGGGAGGAGGAGGTACCCCCCCTCCCTCCCGGCTGGGAGGAGCGAGTGCATGCGTCGGGGAGGGTCTACTACGTCAACCACAACGACAAGACAACGACGTGGGACAGGCCGAGGCCTCAGCCTGCCTTCTCTTCCAGCAAAGGTGACCCTGCCTCGACCCCCCCCTCCCCCTCCCCCTCCCCATCCTCCTCCTCCCTTGACAAGCCCGTCAGATGCCCAGAATGCGGTCAAGGGTTTCGTGGAGAGGTGAGCTGAGTTGCCGGGGCTGCGCGGCGTTGACGACGTGACAGTTACAACATGAAGCTCAAGACCAAGTTCGGCAGCATGCAGAGTGAGAGCAGCGCTGGGAAATCGCTCTCCGACATCCTCCGTGCCGTGTCGGAGCCCAGCAGGCCCGACGAGAGGCCAGCGGTGAAGATGCTGGGCAAGGATGGAGGAAGGGGGGGGAGTGAGACTTGAGCACAGTTGTTGGGAGATCTTCTCTTCCTCCTTGGGTACAACATCTCCTTCGGCCTCGCCATCCTCTTGTTCTCGCTCCCTAACGCTGTGAGTCGCTGCTGCCTCCACGAGCCTTCTGACCTCTGCCTTCCAGCTGGGCATCAGCAGGATCTTCCCAGGGCTCAGCCTCCTGCTCGGCCTACCCCAGCTCCTCGTCTCTATCCAGGTGAGCATGCATCTCGAGATCAACCGGTGCGTCGTCCTAATGCCTGTTGCCAGATCGGCCTGAGCTTCGAACGCCCCTGGCTGCCGTCCTTCCTCCTCAACCTCCCGATCCAGGGCTCCAACCTCGGCAGCCTCTGCTCTTCTCTCGTGGCCCCAATGTGTCACTCCCTGGAGCAGGTCGAGGAGGACGAGAGAGGTCAGGCCCTTCCTGAGCCTCATGCAGGTCCTCCGCCCGCGCCTTAGCTTCGCTGTGAACCTCCTCGGCCGCCTCCCCATGTCTGTGCTCCTTGCGCTCCTCAGCTATCCCTTCGGCAGCCAGATGAAGGTGAGGGAGGAGGAAGACGCTTCCCACCTGACGCCCTTCCAGGCGATCACGATGGGGGTGATGGGGCTGGGGATGGTGATGAGGGACGGGCTGCTCTTCATCGGCTCCATGCTCTTCGTCCTGCTGTCCTTCGGTTGTTCCTTCCCCTGCTCCTCCTTATCGCCCCTGACTCACCCGACAGGAGCGATCAAGTTTGTCCTCCTTTGCAGCTTGGTTGGTTTCCTCTCCGTCTACAGGCAAGTGCCGACGTGTCAAGACTTCTTGACAAGTTTGACAATCTGCTGGGCTGACGAACTGCCACAGCTCCGAGGCACTTGCGGGCTCGTGGGTAGCAAGTTTGCTTCCTGTTGGGCAGTCTCTTGCCAAATCCTTGTAAAGGGAGAGACAATGAATCTCCTCCTTGCTCTTCCAGATTCCTCCACCTGCTCTGTTCTCTGTCCAACTTCCTCGTCTTTCTGACTCCTTACCTCTCTTGTTTTTCCAACGCTCCTCTCCTCTGCTTCCCCTCCTCGTCCTCCGCCTCACGCCAGCGTCTTCTTGCTGGTTGCCAGCTGGTAGTCGTGAGCTGTCAGGGAGCTGGAGTGCAATCGCTTGAACGCTGCGACCGCCTCCTCGTCCTCTCGGATGAGCCTGCCAAGGAACCTGAGTTCTCCTCCTACCTTCCTCAAGCACGTACAGCAGACGGAGAAAAAGCATTGTACGGTTGAAGCGCTGGCAGCACGAGGTCAGGAGGGGAACGAAGGGGAGAGGCTAACCGCGTCGATGTTGAGAATCTTAGCAAGAGGATTGAGACTACCCAGAGCTTGCAGCTGCTGGTAGACAGACCCCAGTGCCCTCTGCAGAGAACAACTTCATGTCATTCTCCCCCCACATCACCCATCCCTCCTCCTCCCCATCCCTCCCCTCCCCATCTCGTCTCTTATTCCTACGCCTTCCCCTCCTTCCGTGCCCCGCACCTCGACGTTGGGCAGGTTGGCCTTGTTCACCGCGTTGGTGTCGGCAGCAAGCTTGGAGAAGTAGTGGTAGAGGAGGAGCGGGAGGCTGCCCATCACCTGCCCTCATGTCACTCGCAGCATCACCAGCGCAAGGAGGCTCCACATAGGTCGCCCGGGTCCTCTCCATCCCTGCTTGCAGCGCCTGGTCGTATCGCTCCCACTGCCTCTTCAGCTGCTCCAGGATCCTTCGAGACGTCAGCTGAGAAGACGGGAGGAGGAGGACAGGAGAGGAAGGAGCAGGAGCAGGAGCAGGAGCAGGAGGAGTAGAGCGAGTAGCGAGGAGCATTTCAGGAGCTGGTTGAAGCAGAAACGGGCACCACGAACACTAGATCAGGTGGCTGGGGACAGAGCGGAAAGAGGGGCAGGAGGAAGAAACAAGTTCAGGTACCGTAGGGTGTCAGTAGCAGCCGAGTAGGAGAGGGAAATGCAGAAGCGGAAGAGCAGGCGGACTGAGCGAGAAGTCGCCCAGCGGACGAGGAGGCGGCAGGAGATGAGGGCGGCGTGAGCCACGGGGATGAAACTCTCCTGAGCCACTTGAAGCATCTCAACAATCCTGCATCATGCATGTGTGAGGAAGGAGGCAGCCTTGCAAGAGGAGCACGAGCACGAGCACGAGCACGAGCACGAGCACGAGCACGAGCACGAGCACGAGCACGAGCACGAGCACGAGCACGAGCACGAGCACGAGCACGAGCAGGGGCAGGGGCAGGGGAAGGAGGGAAGGGAGGACGGTGACGAGGAGATCACCCGTCCTTTGAGTGCTTAGGGAACGTGCAGCCTCCTGAGGAGGAAACAATCCCACTACACTTGATCACGTCGGAGATTATCCACATCTGATGAGCAGAATCAGCACCAGGATCTAGCACTCCTGCTCATCCTCCTCCTGGTCCTCCTCCTCCTCCTCCTCCTCCTGCCCTCCTTGTCTCCTACGTCTCCTAGAATCCACCTTTGCTCACCCTGCTCCTCCTGCCCTCTTCTTCCTGCTGCTCCTCCTGCTCCTCCTCCACCACCTGCTGCTGCTGCTGCTGCTCCTCCTCCTCCTCCTCCTCCTCCCCTACGGTCCTCTGGTCTCTTTGCTCCTCTTTTCGCCACTCCTTCATCGTTCCTACCATGGGTTTCGAGTTGGAAAGCAAGTTGGTCCCCGACGCCTGACTCGAAAGGACGGGAAGCTCGAAGAACGACTGGAGGCCGAGCTGCTGCCTCCTCTCCCCCTGCCTGGATTGAAACTTGAGGAGACAAAAGAAAGAAAGATGCGGGAAAAGCTGGAAAAGACGAGGATAGAGGATGGGAGGCAACAGAGGACGAGACGAAGACGAGGACGAGGACGAGGACGAGGACGAGGACGAGGACGAGGACGAGGACGAGAGTCTAATAAGGACGATAGAGGACGGGAAGGGAGCAGAAGGATACAAGAACCTTTCAGAGAGCCAGTAGACTGAGTGATGGCAGCGGGCAAGCTGGTCGAGGATCCTTTGAATTCCAGCGTAGCCGTTGAGCCAGAGGTCATCATCGGAGTGCTTCGACAGGATGGGTTTCTCTGTCATACATGATGAGGAGGGAAGAAGAGGAGGAGGGAGAGGGTGACGGAGAGGAGGTGGGATGAAAAAAGGAGGAGGAGGTGGAGGAGGAGGAGGAGGAGGAGGAGGCACTGGTGGGAGATGGAGTGAGAATAGTAGGAAGACGTAGAGTGAGGAGAGGAGGAAGCAAACAAGGGTTCAGATGTCCAGCCTACCTGCATCCTGGTTCAAGAAGAGCGCTGGATCAATGCGGAGATGCTCTAAGACCGCAAAGGCCTCGAGCTCCTCGGAGGAGATGGAGCTGTCGGAAGGAGACGTTGAGGAGGAGGGGAGGAGGCGAAAGAGAGGGTCCATCTCCAAGATGTTGAGCAAGTCGGAGGAAGCAACGACTGACTTGACGGAGAAGCCTTCTATGAGCTCAGAGAGGTTGTCGCGTGCTGAGGAACAGTACTCCTTGATCACCACGTTCCAGATCTGAGGAGAACGAGGGTTTAGGTGGAAAGACGCAGAGCGGAGAGGGAAGGAGGGAGGAAGGAGGAAGGAGGAGGGAGGAGGGAGGAGGGAGGAGGGAGGAGGGAGAAGAATCAAGAGATGACTGGGATAGAATTCAGAACGAGGGGGGGCCAAGGCATGCAAAAGCAGCGGGAGGGGCAGGAGGGGCAGGAGACCTTCATGAGATCGTCAACATGCTCGGGTAGAGCGGCTCCTACCGCCATGATCTCCTGCAGAGCATCGTGAGCCATCGCTGGAGGAGGAGGAGGAGGTTAGTGACCTGTAGGAACATGTCCACCTGGAAGGCACTCTCGAGGATGGGGAGCTCGCGCTGCGGTCACTTGTCAACGGAGCGAGGAGGAGGAGGAAGGTGAACAAGCATTATCTCTCTGTTAACAAGCAGCAAGGAGAGCAGGTGGAGAGGGAGCGGGAGCAGGAGCAGGAGCAGGAGCAGGAGCAGCAAGACGAGAGGGCGGGGGCTGGACAGCAACAAGGATGTAAGAGAAGGGATTGAACAACCTGCCCTGTCCCACTGGAGGATGCGATCTTGGTCCAGCATTCACTCCCGTTCACAATCTTCCGCATAAAATATTATTGCCTCCCCCTCCCCCGTCACCTCCACCACCACCTTCTCCTCCGCCAACATCATCATCATCACCACCACCACCTCCTCCTCCTCCTCCTCCTCTCTCACCTCTCGGATACGACGGAGGTAGTGGGCTTCCAGGTCATGCAGAACTACCCTCTCGATGAAGGCCTCCAGGTTGCTCGTCAGCTTCGCTCCCTCCAGCTGATCCCCATCAGGAGAGCTCTCGATCGCCGTCAGACCATCCGCTTCCTCGGCGAACTGCCTGACTTGCTTGATGAGCGCGATCAGGAGGTAGGATGACTGCAAGGAAGAAGAAGAGAAGGAAAGGGTGCTGCGGAAGTTGTGCAGGCCGAAGGAGGCTCGCGTAGCTTCAGTGAGGCTGAACTGGATGTCCAGGTCTCCCTGCTTCTTGCTTTCTTTCCTCTCCTTCTCCTCCCTCCTCTCCTCCCTCCTCTCCCTCCTCTCCTTGCCCTCCTTGCCCTCCTTCCCCTCGGAAGGGTTGCTCCATCGCTCCAACCTGCTGGAGGAGGAGCTCTCCTCTGCCTCCTTGCTGCTGTTCTCCTGCTTGCGAAGCACAGACCCCATGATAGGGGAGCCCACGAGCCCCGACAGAACTTCCAGCACCTGGATCTGAATGCCCGTCCACACTAGCCCGACCGTGTAGGACGGCGGCAGCGGGGGCTGATCCCTGCCCTTGCTCCTCGTCTGCTTCTGCGGCGACTGCATGCTCTGCAGCAGAGCAGCAGTGTAGCCGCTGGAGGAGAGGGAGGAGACGACAAGGATATGCATCTTGAGCACGGACTGCAGGCGGTACAGGATCACCTTCACCAGCTCCACTGACTGCATCACAGCATAGTTCATCCCCTTCCCCCCGACGTCCCTCCCCTTCTCTGTCATCCACACGCCCAGCGTCTCCACGCACTTGGTGAGCTCTGTCTGCAGCGAGGCTGCCAAGTCCGTGCAGGTCTTTGCGACCACCTCCCCTCCGAACTGCTGCAGGATGTCCAACGCCGCCATGAGCGACTTCTGTGTGCCGTCGCCATGCAGCCAGTCGGCGATCGGCCGTCCCTTCCCAGAGACGGGATCGTCCTCACAGCCGTAGATGTGCTTGCGGAGCTGAAGAGAGAGACGTCAAGACAAGTGACCATCAGGAGCTACAAGCAGACAAGTCAAGGCAGCATCAGATGCTCTCACCTCCTTCGACATGGCGGCGACGCAGGACTCCTTGAGCATGATGAGCTGCCTCTTCGTCGGCTGCAGTTGGGCGATGTCGGTGAGGTCAGAGGCCTCCAGGAGCTTCAACGCGCTCATGACCTTCTGAGACGCTGACAGAAAGTTTTGCTGCAAGATCAACTCCTGAACGTCGGAGGGAGTGGACACGATCTCCTCTACCTTGGCGATCATGTCGATCACGCTCGTCAGCATCGCGCGCTTCATTCTTAGCTGCACGAGCGTGTCCATGCCCTGAGGTTGCAGCAGCCTTCTCGACTCGTTAATCTCAGCATGCAGCATCTTCAACTGTGCGTTCATTGTCTTGTACAGCTCCAGGGCCTCTCCGTGCCTGACTGTGTTCTCTCTGATAACATCATGATGCTTCTCTACCACATCGTCATAGACTTTGTTGCATGCTTCCAGCTGCCGTCGGATCCCTTCTCTCGCCGCCCCTGCATCGGAGTCGAGCGACAGCAAGTGCATGACCTGTCCGAGGCTGTTGAATCTCTCCTGCCTGTACACGTCATCGACCTCGTTCAGGCTCCACTTGACCCTGCTCCTTCCTCGTAGCCGTCTCTCTCTCGCAAGCTCCTCCTCTCTCGCTCGATCCTCCTCTCCCTTCTCTTCCATCTCGCTCTCTCCCTCGTCTTCGTCCTCCGACATAGTTGAACTTTCCCCGGACCCCCTCATCCCCTCCCGCTCCCAGTGGACCCTCAGCTTTCGAAATACGGGATTGACGGTTACAGAATCGGTTACAATGGTTGCTCCTCAACGAAGTCTGGGGTTGAGGGGTGATGAGGGGCAACAGCGACCTTTCATGCAAGCAGCGCAGGGAGAGGCAGCAGAGCAGAGAGAGGGGAGGGGAGGGAGAGGGGGAGAGACCAGAGGGACGAGGACAAGAGCACAGGTTAAGAGACAAGGGGGAGAGGGAGGGGGAGGGGGAGGGGGAGGAAATGTCAATCAATGGGTCTTTCAGATGAAAATGGAGGTAGATGGTGGTGAGAGGAGTCAAATGTTGTGGAGGACAGAAAACATTTCTTCCGCAAACCAAAGAGATGATGCAAAGGGATTATAGCCGTGGTGCTTGTCATTGCAGCTGAATGGAGTGACGTTCATTGGATATTGATCGATAGCTAGTTGTTTGCTAGAAGCCTTGATCACTCGTTACTCTGTGAAGATAGGCATTACAGTAGCGGGCTTCCTTGTATACTAGGTGGTAGTGCGTGGCCGAAGGGAGCCAGGACTTGCCTTGATGGAGCTGCTAGACTTTTCATCTCTTTCACCTGACTGTCCTCTTTGCAGTTGTTGGCGCGCTGAGTCAGTCTTGAAACTTCCACTTGCCGCTTCTTCTCTGCTATCGAAGGATGAGAGTTCTCTCCATCCTCTCCATGGTTGGCTATGGCGTTGGCTCGGAGACGTACGACAGCGTCTTCGATGATACTGCTCGAGAGCGCTGGACGTCGGGAGGGTCCACCTTGTACGACGTCTGTCCTCTGACAGCAGACTGCACGGGCGTGCCAGGAGGCGACACGTCCGGTTCAGGATCATCATCGGCTTCGAGCTTGCTGGGGATGATGGACAACTTTCATAACGATCAGTTCTGGAAGACCAACACCAGGTGGCATGCCGACTGATCTTCACTGCCCGAGGACATGGGAGGTGGAGAGGCGCGTGACCTGTTGTCTTGGTGAAGAGGGTGTTATCACGAACGTTAGTTCAAGATGCGTTGTTTAGGGATTACGATAGAATACAATCATGAACGACAACACCTGGGGCTCCTCACCCTCCAACTCCTCTTCCTCCTCCTCCTCTTCCTCCTCCTCTTCCTCCTCATGCGAAAGTGCTGCAGGCAAGTCAGGGGATGCCAGTCCTGACGGGCATACATACCCTCTCAAGCTCCGATCGCCGTCGTCCTCCTGCTGGCAGACAAGACAGTCTCCGTTGGGAAACTTGAAGACAAACTGGCCGCGAACCCTGGACCTTTCTCAGCTCCCGGTCGTCGTCCTCTCAACATTAGAGTGACACTCACGCGTACTCCTCTAGCCGCGGGTTGGAGCCCACAAGGAGTCCGCGGACGGTGTAGAGCTGCAGGATGATTCGTTAGGATGCAGGGAAGAAGGTTGAGGTAAGGAAGGGCAGAGAAGATGGCAGAGCAGGAGTTATCAGAGCAGGGGATGCTGAGCTTGTGCAGCAGCAGGACAAGGAAGGAAGGAGGGTAGTTCTCACGTTGCTGGCTTTGGAGGACAAGGGTACTCGAGATTCAGGAGGCTCGCTCCGTCTCGAGGCACCCGACGGTCCATTTCGTTTCCTGTGGCACGAGGATAGAGGAAGGGGAGGAAGGGAGGCATGGATGGTACCTCTCGTTCTTGGCTGACTTGGGCGTCTCGTGCTGTAGATGAGTGAGGTCGTGAAGGTCGAAGGGAGGGGGAAGCAACCTTGGTCCCTTCGAAGCCTGACGAAGGAAGAGGAGGCTCGGAGGAACCTCTTCTCTGTCTGGCTTTGCGAGCTGAAAGACTGTAAGATGACAGGCAAGCAGGAGGCACAAGAGGTCGGACATGGAATCTGTGGAGTTTGCGATAGGAAGAGAGGGTTGGTGTAGAGGTCAGGGAGAGGAGGGGTGTGTCCTCCACTAGAGTCATCGCTCCTCTGCAGATGGGAAGGCGCTCCCTTCGCCCTAGGACGAGCCGCGTTCGCGGATCGGGGCTTCTCCCTATGGCGGGCTGCGTGTTGACGTCACTCACAAAGACAGCAAAACTTGCAAGAACACTTGAGCCCTCGCTGAGTTCAATCTGAATCCCTCCCGGGTCGACGTCCGACGAGTTTTCCCTTCGAGGTGACTGGAGGGAATCAGCTGGACATTCAGGTGGAGATGGGGGACCTTGTACTTGGCGAGGGAATCGTAGAGATCGTCAGGCTTCTCGCGCTTGAGGTCCCTGGGAGTAAGGATAAGGAGGAGTATGCAGAGGGTGCGCATGCTACTGCATATATCGATCCCCGGGAAGGTTTCCTGCCCCAGTTGCCTGCTAAAGGCTGAGGAATACAACCTCTGATGGGAAGCAGCACAGCAGTCGACCTGCTTGACTCTTCTCCGACTCCCCCGCTGAGAGCAAGTGAGTTGGAGACACAGCCGGAGAGGCAAGGGACCGACCTTATCGTCCATCCTAGGATATCTCGATGAGGCATTGCTAGAGAAAAGCGAGTTCAATCTCCAGCGCCCTTGCCGCCTCCCCTAACCTTTCCATCGAGTTGTCCAGATGCTGCTCAGGGGCTCCCCGCCGCTGCGGCGGCATCGACATCGCCCTGAAACTTCCCTTTGAGATGGCTAGCTCTATCTTCTTTGCCAGACGCTTGACCCTCTTCGCGCTCTCTCCCAGGTCTAGAGATCCCAGCATCTCGTCCCAGCTGCAACCCTTCCGTATGAGGCTCTGCAGAGGAGGCAGAAATGTCAACCAGACTGCATGAAAGGAGAGTTGAGAAGTACTTTGACAGATTTCACCAGATTTTGCAGAGAGTCATAGCAGGCACGAAGATCAGACGATATTACATCTCTGTTCGAACTGGACTGCTGATACAACTCCTTCATCTCTTCCGTCTCTTTCTCGAATGAGGCAACCAGTAGCTCAGGAAGTATTTGACCATGTCGCGAGTTTGAATAGCACAGGCGTTGGGAATCTTGCTGGACGCGCCGCAGGAGTCTAAGCACGTCCTTTCCTCTCTCGACCTGCTCGTCTGGGTCCCTCATGTGTGACATGCCCTGAGGCTCGACAGACATGTTTCTGCGAGAGCTCGCCTTGGGAAGACCATTGAGGATGGAATGTATGTTTCTGACCTCTTGATTATCCTGGCTCCCTTCATCGTGACTACCGCGATCCTTCTTGTCGGCCCTCGAACGATGACGCATAGAGATCCTCCGCTTCTCATCATTCGCTTTAGTTGGATATCCCTCTGCACTCCTCCTGGCTTCCTCCCTCCTGCTCGGCTTCCTGCTGCCCGGTAACGGACTCCTGTCCTCTCGCTCGCTCCCGCCGACTGACCCCTCCCTCTCTTCCCTCCTCCTCGGCTTCCTGCTGCTCGGTAACGGACTCCTGTCCTCTCGCTCGCTCCCGCCGACTGACCCCTCCCTCTCTTCCCTCCTCCTCGGCTTCCTGCTGCTCGGTAACGGACTCCTGTCCTCTCGCTCGCTCCCGCCGACTGACCCCTCCCTCTCTTCCCTCCTCCTCGGCTTCCTGCTGCTCGGTAACGGACTCCTGTCCTCTCGCTCGCTCCCGCCGACTGACCCATCCCTCTCCTCCCTCCTCCTCGGCTTCCTGCTGCCCGGTAACGGACTCCTGTCCTCTCGCTCGCTCCCACCGACTGACCCCTCCCTCTCCTCCCTCCGTCGCGGAGGCAACTTGCGGGAGAAACTGTCTTTTTGATACATCGAGAAGGCGTGAAAATGTCGATGTCAAGTGGAAAGAAGTTGAACTTGTGGCTTGCGATTCACGATATGGTCTTTCCTTGGAAAGATGCAAGCTCCCTATTTGAATTGCTTCATCGCTGACTGCAATAACACCTGTAATTCAACATTATCTGGTGTATCAAGAATTGATATGTTGCCATTTCAACTAAAGTACCAAAAGATCTGAGCCAAACTGAATAAACTTCCTGAAAGATCAGGTCCGACTAACTCCCTAATGCAAAATTTGATCACTCCTTTTCAACCCTCTTCTCCCATTCACAAACTTCCTCTCCTTCCTGTCCTCCTCTCCTCTCCCTCTCCTCTCTCCGCTTCCCCTCCTCGCACTTTACGTCTCTCCATCAGCTGACATAGCGGATATCATAGGTCAAAAATTCAAAGATACCGAGGACGGGTAGGGTACCCTTCGCTGGTTGATACAGGACAATGTTAGGTGGGGTGGGTAGATCAAGGAGGGTAGTTTTAATGGTTATCATGACCGGTGCTCTTGAAGCCAGGTATCAATGAAAATGCCGGGTCATTCTTGGTTGACTCCCGAACACTCCATGGTGCAGTCAACTTGCTGTTGACTGAGAAGCGCTATGATGTACAGTAATCTCACTATCGCCTCCTCAGATTTGGTTCGAGAGAGTCTTCACATCGTCCTCGGAGGGAGGGTGATCGGCAATGACCTGCTTCATACTTCCTGGCGTCTTTCCAGTGTCAAGTTCGATGTCCATACAGTAGCATTGGAAGATGGTGTCAATGCACATGTCCTGAGAGAGCATTCATCAGTCTCCTCGAGTCCTCGAGCATGCACTCACCCAAACATCCATAAACGCGGAGGCAACACTGAAAGAGATCAACCCGACGATGGCTGTGGGGAAGACCGGCGCAGACGTCACATCGTTGAAGTTGCCTCCAACCATGATCAGAGCGCAAAGAAACGTGGAAGCGATTGCGATAAAGAGCCTTCCTATGGCGATGAAAATTGTCGTCATCACATTCAAGGTTCCAATCCGTAGGCAGTTTCTCAAAATCAGCATAAACGCTGCTTTTGCTGATACCAAAAAGTTCGTTCCTCGTATCGCTGTTTGAATGTAAGCGTTCTTGTTGAGGAAATTCAAAAAGCGTTCCAAGCATGAAAGGCAACATTCGCCACAACATGCAAATATCTTGACCAGCGGGTTGTTTGGGTTCATCTTCTTCAGTTTGTACACGTAGTAGCGGAAGACCCATCGAATGAATTGCACGATAGCAATAATCAAGCTGCCGAATGCTGCGGTACCACCATGATATATCATAGTTCGCTTAGTTGACGATAACAGGGGAAGGACCAAGGTTCTCTTGTCAAACGCCAAGAACCACTTGAAACAAGCAAGATGTCAGTTAGCGCAGCGAGAAATAACAAAACATACCTCGGCTGTGGCTCCAGCAATGATGAGGTTTCCGCATGCAAGAATAAATGTCCTGCCCCAGAGAAGACCAAAGAAGTGATAAATGATCATCCTCTGAAGCGTAGTGTTCCAAACAAACTGATGCTGACTTGCCTCCCATGTTCCCGATGATGCTAGGTAAAGGAAGACAAATATCCACCACACGAACAACGCAACGGTGGCTGCCCATTGGAAAACAGGCAGCAGAAGCATACTGGGAACTTCCGCTAGACATTCAGTCGCAATTCCAATCACCTTGATGGCAGTGCTGATCCTTGGCAGCATCACCAAGAGGATGAGCGTGTAGGCAACCAAGGCTACTCCAGCCACTGCGGCTGCAGCAATCGTCATTCCTTGATTCGCTTGCGCAGGACCCAGTGAAACACTGGAAGCCAAGGCTGCACTCCCAGGGATTGTGTTTGCATTGATGAAGTGAGCCTTAATAGCGAGTACCAAGACAGCCGCTGCCAGCAGAAGCCATGTAGCAAGCAGGATGATGTAGGATATGGGAGCTCCGAAAATCTTGAGGAAGAACGCGTAGACGAAGGCGATGACGAGGGCAATACCACCTGCCGCTACGATGATCCACTTTTGTTCTTGCACTTGATCTGAGAGGTAGGCGAAAGTCTGCGATGGAGTGTTGATCGCAGCAACAATGTAGCTTGGACTTTCCGATGACGCCGTTAAGTTGGAAGAGGATGTGGAGGATACCGACCCTGACCCCGTCGAAGGCACGCAACGATTGAAGCCCGACATGGGCGAGGAGGAGTAAGTCAGGAAGCAGAAAGCGTAAGGCTGGTTCTGACTGACGGTCTTTGTGGCAGGCACGTTGCTGTTGATGACTTGACTGCCCTGCCCTGTAAGTGCTCCTGTGCAGCAAGAATCGGAAGGTTGATTGCCACTTCCACAATCGCAAAGCGGGTTTTGGCTCAGACAAGAGTAGTACCCTGTTGCTGTTCCAGATTCTGGGCATTCGGTGTTTTGCGATGTTTTGAACGGCAAGATACACCTAAGATAGTTGGTCTTCTGTCAGGAGGATGAAACCCTTCAACACCGTCAAGACGACCTGATCTGCAATGAAGACGGTGGACATACGTCAACGCAGACCGACCATGTCAGATTGCTCGACGATGGTCGTGGATAATATCTGATGAATCAGTCAATCAAACATAAATGCAAAGTCAGAATAGAACGATATACAGCAAAGTCTTGTTGGAATTGATTCCGGTCCCACAAGTTTGCCCGAGGAAGTCATAGCCATAATGAAGTCGGGGTGGCTGTCCATTGGAAAAGGCAAATATCCCCACGATGAGCATTCCGATCCAAAACACGATGAAGATCAAGCAACACAACATATCAGTACAGCCTCTGTGCTGCTTGATCTCGAAATCCTCGCCCTGTGGATTCAAAGAGCAAACAAGTCAAGACCGAATATCGGGTGGGAGATGCTGATGGCATACATTCTCCAACTTCAATGGACTCCCGCCCTTCTGGTCTATCTTTTGTCGCAGCTCCTCGTGAGCTTCACTCTCCATCTTTGGAGTGCCGGGCTGTCCCTTTAGGATACGTCAGTGCTCGAGCTTTGAGAATCGATAACTTCAAGCATGCGTAAAGCTAGGTTTGTTATTCATTGAGATAGCAAGCTGCTCTATCTCTTCAGGTGAAAGTCTAAGTTTTCTGGAGACAGGACACTCAAACTCGCGGCAGTCCCAGAGGCTGGAGATTCAAGCTGTTGTCTGATCTGCCTCATCACAAATACCTTCAATAATCCTATATCATTTGAATTCCTCTAAGACAACTTTATCTATTTCATGCTGAATTCGTTTTTTTCCTGTTTGATGTCTACAGAGGCAAGTATCTTACTGCGTCACGCCATGGGTCAGTTTCAAATGTTATTCTGGCAAGCATAACACCAACACGTCCTGCAGCCAACAAGATCCTACAAAGACGCTGAAGCTGACCATGAAACACTGTGTATCTTCTGCAGCACTCCCATCAACAATGCATTCAGACAACACACATCCCATTGGTCCTGAAATTGTTTGTCTCGGAACATAGTTCTTGGTCATCATCTTTGCAAAGTCATATGTTAGCTACATCCTTCTCCGCATTTCCCTGTTTCTTCCTTCATCATCCTTGCTCTATCTGCCGCGTGTGCGCATGCTGCTACAGCTGGCCCCTCCGGCGGACCTCTCCCAGCATTCGAGTCACTCCTGGTTACTACCCACCCCTGACTTCCCCTCCAGGCTGGACTTTAGATGAAAGAAGGGGTAGTGACACAATAGGATCATTCATCAACTTCAACATCACCGGTCCTACACTACCACCACCGGTCCTTTTGACCTTCTTGATACCCCAGTCCGATAAACCCTGCGACTTCCGCCGGGTGCGGGATCGATTGCCGTATGGTACAACTACCACCCCTACCATCCCAACATGACTACACCTTTGGTATCGCAGGGGGCCTATTAGGGGGTAGGGGTGGGGTTCACTTCTGACATGTGAGAGTAGTGACCGGTACTATTACAACTACCTCAAAGATACGCCTTGAACACTTAGGAAATTGTACGGTCACTGCCCGGGCCGCCGGGACAAGCCAGCCGGGCCTCCTCCCCGCCGGGCCGGACCGCCGACTTTACTGACTATGTGTCTGATCGTGCCGCAGTACCGCCGCAGTGAGCCTCCGGGCAGCGCGCCGCCCGGACAACCGTTGTGTACCACCACCAACCATCGACTCGTTGAACTGTCGCAAGTTGATCGGACGCTCCTTGCACCCGCACTGCACCGCGAAAGTTGCCACATTTTCTTCTTCATTTACACTTTGAAATATCCCTACGAATGTGGTCATGCCAATGCCCCTCGTTCTTCCTCCTCTTTCTTCTTCTTGTCCTCAGCAGACTCCTGAGATGGGATAGAGAGCCAAGCGTCGTTCTCGCCTGTGACGATCGTCTCAACCTGCATGATCAGCATCGAGATGCTCTCAGTGGAGGCTTTGTCCACTGCTGATATGCTGTGCCACCAGGTGATAATGTTGTTCAATTTCATCAGTGACTTGTTGTATCGCGCAAGCTTCTGCCGTGTCCCGTGGAACTCCAACCAGGAGACGATGGCGGCAGAGAACGCGATCAGGATGGCTCCGTACTCGGGATACCCAAGGGTAGAGACAGCAGCTGCTCCGGAGTTTGAGAGGATGGTCAGCCAGGTGCAAGCATTGAGCGTTTGTCTGTACCCAGGGAGTCTGCTGCGGTAGAAATCCAGCATCAGGTTGACTCTGACCTCGATGTACTGGTTGGGCGAGGTGGGGGTGTGATGGTTGTCCACCAGAGGCGCGTCCTGCTGGGTCTTGTCGTCGTCCCACTTGTGCTGGAAGTGCTTGTAGACCTTGCGGGGGTAGCTGCGCATGAAGGAAGTCTCGCCGATGTCCGCAGACTCCATGAGCTCTGCCCTGAGCTCGAGGACGCGGTCACGGAGAGCGATCTCCGGGGCATCCGACTTGTTGTTGTTCATGGCGAAGACGCCGACGCGCGTCCTGTACATCCAGATGACGCTGACGATGCGTGATGAGATGTTTCGCAGGATCCGCCAGCGGTGCATGGGGTTGTAGAACGCCAGGATGGCCCCGATGATGGACGCCGACAGTGAAAGGAAGAAGATGATAGTCTTGGTCCTCCCGTCATCAAGGCAGGTGAAGGCAACAACCTCACACCTGTCTACTTTGTTCTTCATCACTGTGATCGCTGTGATGACGAGGCCCAAGGACAAGATGACGATATAGCCTAACTTGGATATGATCTTGTACGACTCCGCCACGTGGTTGCAGATGTCCACAGTGTCCCAGGCCTCCCGCAAGATCTTGAGACCTTCGAGCGAGTTCTCCTCGGGGATCCTTCCGATCCGGACAAGATCCTCAATGAGCTTGCTGAGGCCCTTGACGTCGCTCACGTTCCTCCCGTAGAAGATGGGGGAGGAGAGCAGCTGGCTCACTTGCTCCCCATACTCCACCCGTGCGTCTTCAGAGATGCTCGCCTTCATCGCGTCGAAAGATTCCCACAGGGGTTTGATCCCCTTCTTCTCGCACACCCGCACGACCTGCCAGTAATTCTGCATGTGCTCTTCCTTGAGGAAGTCGACAACTGAGCGAAGGTCAGCGAGCTTCTCCTCCTCCGAAGAATCCATCTTTTCCCCTCTGTTCTTCCTCTCGATCGCCTCCCAGAGTTTCTCCGGGTGAGAGCTAGACTTGGAAGCATTCGGATTCTTGCTAATCGCCGGTTCATATTCCTTCAGGACCGAATCCATAAACGCGATGTTACACACGTCATAGACTTCATTCTGATTCGCTTGAAACAGCTCCTCTCGGAACTCTCGGATCTGAGAAAATGCTTCCTTCAGCCTCTCTTTCCTGCTGTTCCCTCGCAACTCCTTCCTCTCGCGCAGGTCCAGGAACACGACAGGAACAGAAGAGTTGATGATGTCAACACAGATCTGCAGTCAAACAATCCCATCACCCAAGACTTACAGGCCACGAGCAGGGCCAGCAAACTCACCTGGTTGTTGGTGTTCTCATGCGTCCTCGTGAACCTCAGAGTGAAGCAGGGGATAGACTGAGAGAAGTTCTCTAGGATCATGTTCTCCAGCAGGTTCGCCGGCCCGGGGTTCCAGTTCACAAACTTGCCGTTGGTGTCCACGGTGGCGCCCTCGAAGAGGATGTAGTTGTCCACTCCCGCCAGCAGGTCTTGGCTTACCCACTTTGAGCGTTCCGGGCTAGAAACGGCCTTGTTGAAGTCGTCCATAAGGTCATCGTTCCTCCCGAAGCTCTCCGACTTGCTCCTGATCTGATGCGACACCGTGCCATCTACCCTGCTCTGCCGCTGGAACACCCACCTCCAACCCGAGCCCATGGTGGAGAAGGGGAGCTTCGCCCCCCACTTGGATCGCAGCAAGTTGACCGCCTGAGAGAAGGCATGAGCGCCCATGTCCCAGTCTGAGGCCGGCATGAGCACTATGGCGTTGGTTTGTGCGCACAGAGGGATCAACACGTCCCGAAAGAAGTTCACCAGCTTCACCTTGGCGTTCTCGAGCTCACTTTGTTGCACAGATGGGCCATGGTTACCAGGCAGATAGTTCTCACGCCACATGTCGGGCACTCCTCCTATATTCCCGCTCAGCAAGGGTTGCGGATCGAATTTACCCTCCTCGAAATCTTTCCCCACCCTCTCCGTGAACCACCTGTACTGCATCGTCCCTGCCTCTGAGTGCAGAAGCTTCACCACCAACTTGGGCTTCCCGTTCAGCTCGAACGCATGGAACAGCTTCGGGATCGATTCTCGGGTGAAGACGGAGGCCTGTCGGTTGTTGAGCACCAAAAGCTTCTTCGTCATCGACGACGACCCGACTTCGGCATGGATGTCCTCGACTGCAACATCATCTCGTCAGATGCTGCTCAAGTTCTCACAAGTAAGAAAACAACACGTACCTAGGTTATAGAGAGTCTGTGCCAACCATGAAATTGGGCCATGAACACACCGAGGAGAAGGAAACGTTAGGAAACGCGGGCCACAGGATTCGAGCAGAGGGATTGACACACCTTGGCTCTTATCTCCAGCAGCTCGTCTTCTATCTGCAAACCGTTGCTCCTGCGAGAGTGGATCTCTGACCTGATGGTGGCAGGCTGCCTTGCGGGTGGAGCGGCCGTGGGATCGGGTTCCATCGTGTTGACAGATCCTGGAAGTTGATCTTCCTCCATGATCGCTCAACAGATTGACAATGTAGATATATTGAAACTGTCGCTTCTATTGTTATTTCGCCAAGCCGTGCTTTGTGTATCCCCTGACAATCTTGCAGTCTGCGAGACTTTTGGCGCACTTACGTCTAAAACCCTTTCAATCTCGTTCCCTGTGGCTGTCAACACGTCCCTACATCTATTCTTTGCTCTCTTATATCTTGTGCTCACTCTCCTCTGCTCTCCTCTTACTCGCCCTCCTCTTTCCCTCCTCTCTTCCTCTTCCTCTGCATCCTTCGCCTCCTGCTGGTCGTTACTACGTATCCATTTTTTTCCGCTTCTGTTGGTTGGAAGTTCACGATTGCGCTCTGAGGCAGACCTGTTCCCACCATTTCTCTCTGAGGCAGACTCGCATCGAGTTTAGCTAATTCTTACTCCCCAAGTCTTATTTCAACAGAACAGGACTTAATTTAAGGCTAATCCTTGCATTTTTAGGTATCTTTGAGAAATATTTAGAGAGCTTGTCGGTTAATTTAAGGTCCCTCCTGGAGGAATTGGGGAGCAAGGTGTAATGGCGGCGATCGGGGGGCAGGAGCGACGGCGAGGCGGGAGATGTTGAGAGCTGACATGGTGGAATGAGGCTCCGATGTGCAAGTAATGCGCATCAGCTGATAGTCGTGCGATGAGGAACGTCGTGTGCTGCTCGCTCTGTTGTATCCCGCTACTGCCCTGACTAGGTTGGTTTTGCGGCTGCTCCGTTTGATCTTGTGGAACAGAGCAAGATGTTTCTGGAGTTATCGATCGAGAAGAAGATAGCATTCCTGATGTCTGTCCACCCAAGATTGGGAGCTGAGTCGTGCGGATCATGGCAAAAGTTAGCCTCGGACAACTTCTGCTTCGATGATGTGCTCATGATCATTGTGAAGGCAGCAGAAATCCGACCTGGGATCGTGCGGAAGATGTCGAGGCGAGAAATTTTCATGGTCGGGGAGGGAAAGCTACAATGTCCGCACTGTGTTGCTGTCGACTCGGCGGGCAACATTGTAGTAGTGGACTGCGATGGGGTCAAGGTCTTCAGGGGAAGGGATGGAACATTGCTGAAGAGCATGGGGCACCGGGGAAGCAATATCACTGAGCTGCACCTTCCATGGGGAGTGGCTGTCGACCAGGACGACAGTATCATCGCTGCCAACGTGGGTGAAGACAACATAGTTGTCTTCGACAAGGACGGGAGCGTGAGGCGGACAGTGGGTCGGAGCGGATCTGGGGAGGGAAAGCTAAAGCACCCCTACGGTGTGGCGGTGGACGGGGAGGGGAACATCGTGGTAGCAGACTACGACAACAACAGGCTGCAGCTGTTCGGGAGGGACGGGAGGTTCCTCAGGGCGATAGGGAAGAAGGGCAGCGGGGAAGGGGAGCTACAGCAGCCGTGGGGGGTGGCGGTGGACAGCAACGGCGTCATAGTCGTGGCTGAGAGCCTGGGGAGGAGAGTCGCCATGTTCAAGAACGATGGCACCTTCATCAGGTCGATCCGCAGGTGGGGGAGCGAAGGCTCCGCGCTGGGTCGCCCGCGCGGCCTCGCCATCGACATGGAGGGGAACGTGGTGGTGGCGGACTGGGAGATGCACAGAGTTCTTGTGTTCAGGTGGGGCAAGCTGCTGTGACTGTGCTCGTGGAGGAAGGGAGTGACGCGCTTGCTGGCTGCAGGCAGGATGGGAGCTTCGTGCGATCCTTCGGGGGTCGGGGGTCGGGGGACGGGGAGCTGAAGCATCCATGTGGTAAGCTGCTGATGATCACATGCGTATGGTTGCCAGAATCTCCTCCCTACCTTGTCCCCTCTCCCATCCCCATCCCCCTCCCTACCTCCTCTCCTCCCCCTCCCCCTCCCTACTTCCTCTCCTCCCCCCCCCTCTCTACCTCCTCTCCTCCCCTCCTCTTCCCTACCTCCTCCCCTCCTCCTCCTCTACTCCCTCCCTTGCCCGGACTCACCTCGTCTTCCCTGCCTCTTCCCCTCCTTTCTCCTCTCTCTCTGCTTTCTCATCCCTTGGGTGCAGGCGTTGCTGTGGATGGGATCGGAAACATCGTGGTAGCGGACTACGAGAACCATCGGGTTCAAGTGTTCAGCGCTGAGTTCGAGTGAATGAATCGATTCCCCTCCCCTCGTATGCTCGTAGCCCTGAGATCCTTTACCCTTGCCGGAATCCGCTTCTCCTCCTCCTCCTCCTCCTCCTCCTCCTCCACCTCCTCCACCTCCATCACCTTAGTATATATATTGTTTATTATACTTACTCTAATGTATCTCAGTCAATAGAATTGCTTTATCATATATTTCTACATTGTTGAATCTTGAATCTTGT